AAGTATAATGAGATCACCCCGACTCTTCAACATCTAGGCAGAGCTTAGGTGTGACTGTTTATATTTAAGATCTTAATTTATTATTATACTTTTTATTTATTAATCTTATTATTAATGCGAATTAAGAATTTGTATGAAAAAATTTAATGAAATAAAGTTTCCTAAATACTCCATCATCTAGGCGGTATTCGAAAACAAATCATTTCATATGAGATTTTCACACGTATCCTTAAAGTTTCGAAATGATTTTGAATATAGGCTTAGGTTGAGGTTTTAGGACTTGCATGATTTTTGGGTAATGATTAGGGATTATGTGTTAAATTTAAGGTTTTAAAAATTTAAATTTTAAGGTTTTGGATTTTAGGGTTTTAGGGTTTGGGATTTTAGGGTTTTAGGGTTTCAAATTTTAGAGTTTAGGATTTTAGGGTTTAATTTTAGGGTTTAGAGGTTTTGGGTTTTGATTTTAAGGTTTAGTGTTTAAGGGCTGGAATTTAAAGTTTGGGATTTTAGATTTTTGGGTTTTGAATTTAGGGTTTCAATTTTAGTGTTTAGATGTTTTAGGGATTTGATTTTAGGGTTTAGAGAGTTTAATGTTTCATTTTTAAGGTTCAGAGAGTTTGGGGTTTCGTTTTTAAGGTTCAGAGGTTTAGGGTTTAATTTAGGGTTTAGAGGTTTGGGGTTTAATTTAAGGTTTAGAGTATTTAGGGTTTACGAGTTTTAGGGTTTGGTTTTAAGGTTTGAAGGATTTAGGGTTTCAATTTCGGAGTTTTAATTTTTGAGATTTTAAAAAAATGCGAACATCTTTAAAAATCTCCAACATCTAGGTAAACTTTTGGAGCAAGTTCGATTTTTATGAATTTCAAGAAAATAATTTTTTTATTATAAAGTTAATATTAATCTAATTAATTTTAATTTTTTTTATAATAATAACAATTTCCCAACATATAGACAAAATTATTATTATTTAAAACATGATTGTATTCCCTCAAACATCTAAGCAAGAAAAAGTTTTATTTATTTATTTTTTATACATATATTATTATTATTTTTTATTCAACACTTGGATTATTAAAAAAGAATTAAAAGTTTTTAAAACATTATTATTATTGTTATTGTCATTTAATTATTATTATTGTTAATTATTATTATAGAACAAAAAGTATTTACCTTAATAAACTCTAAAACTTTTAAAGCATACATTAATAACAATAATAATAATGTTAAAAATGATATAAATAAAATATATAAAAATAAAAAAAAAATTTTACCTGAACTGAATCGATCAACGGTAGTTCGATTGGGTCGAAAATAGGAACGGTTCGGTTGAACCAATTGGGTGGTAGTTCAGCGCACAGTTTAGTTGAATCGGTTCAAGACTGGTTGAGGTGGGTTGGCAGGTTGGTTTGTGCAGATCTCGGGTCAGGTAACGAGCACGCGCAGATCCTCTTTATGCTCAAAACGGCATTGTTTTGCTCATATGGTTTTTTTCAGTTCATTTCATCCCTCTTTCAGAAAAAAAATTCCCCAACTCTCCAAACTCTTTTTGACTTTGGTAGGAGTCTTGTGCCATACCATCGAGTCGACCGCCATATGGGTCATCGTCGGTGATCACCGGTGATCGAAAAACTCTAAAATTCATCGAAAAGGTCATTTCAACCTCCTCAGCTTAGATCTGCTATCCTTTTAATGAGAAATAGTCCTGATTATTGTAGATAAGGCTTGAAGTTTTCTGCATTATCTCTTTTTTTTTTAAATAACTGATGATCTTTTTTTCTTTAGTGTAGGTGGCTTTGGCGTTGAGGCTCCTCCCTATGAAGAGGATTATGTTGATGTTTTTTTGTTTTTGTAGATCTGTTTTTGGTGTTTTTGTTTTTTATTTTTTGGTGGGTGGAGTGTGTGGGTTTCTTGGAATGGTTTTATGCTTCTGGGTGTAGGAGTTTGGTGTTTCAGAGTAGTTGGAGATGTGTTCGAGAGAGACTAGAAAGGGATAAAGCTCGATTTTTTATAAGGCTTGATCTGTGTCTGGGATAATGGGTGGTCTAAGGGCTATAGAGGGTGGCTATAGAAAAGGTTGTAGAGGTAGCTGTAGGGTTCTGGTAAAGGGGCAGCTAGTTTAGTGGCTGGTCACAAGGGTCGCTGGTTTAATGGGATCAGGCAGAGGGCTGGACAGAGGTGACAACGACACCGTACACTAGCCCTCTATTTTTTATTTTTTTAATTATTATTTTAATTTTAAATTTTTTAATTTTTTGTTGTATTTTTTATTAAATAAAATATAAATCAAAAATATATTTTGGGCTTATAATATCAGATTGGGCTTTGGGCCTGGTTGGATCAAATTAGGCCTGAAGCCCAATTGAGTCAAAATCAGGTTTGGAGCCTAGTTGAATCAAAATTAGGCTTGGAGCCCAGTCGAATTAGAGTCAGACCTAGGTTTGAAAATTCAATACACGCGATGAACTTTAAAACTAGAGTTGGCAAAAAATCGGATAAATTTGGTGTCTACACAATGGTGAGAAGATTTGATGCTTTTTTTGTACTCATTGTACTATTCTCGATATTAATAAAATATTTTTTTTCATATAAGAATGTCGGGGGTCGTCTTGGTGTGTTTTTATTTTATCCTAATACATCATTATGTATTTTTGAGATTAACTTATGGCTTATTGGTTGCCTCTTCAGATATCAAACTATCATTGGCTGACTTGTGTGGAAACGTCACCCAAGTACCACACGAACTATTGCTTCATTGAAAGAAAGCTTAGCCTGTGACACATAGTATTAGAGCTTGGTTGAGAAGTGTTAGAGAATTGATAAAATAGCTACAAGTGGTGGATTTAGTGATCGATTAAGGATCGAAGAGCTTGAGGCCATGATGGCTACTCGAAAAGCTCATGTGGTAACTCATGATTGACTGAGGGAGATCAAGACATCCTAGTGGGAGTTGTCTGATACCTTACATAGCTTGGGTGAGGAGACCAGAGATGCTTTAAATGTCCTCTAGAGAGAGTTTAAAGAGCTTAGGGCCCAAGTGAGTGTGCTACAAATGGTTATGGCCAAGTTTAGTTCTAGCTTGTGGAGAAAAAGAAAAGGGGCAAGGTGTCGGAGCCTCAACGTTATAAGGGGGCAAGAGATGCCAAAGCGCTTGAGAACTTCCTATTTGACATAGAATAATACTTTCGAGCTATGTACATAGAATCAAAGTAAGATAAGGTTGCAATGGCTTCAATATACCTTACTGTGGATGCCAAGCTGTGGTGGTATTCATCAAAGCATTCAAAATTTGTAAATGATGAATACCTTATTAAAATTTGGGTGGTTATTAAGCAAGAGTTGAAAAACCAGTTCTTTTTTGAGAATGTAAAGTATATGGCTCAAAGGAAACTTTGAGAATTAGTGCAAACATGAACAGTGTGAGAGTTTGTGATGAATTTTTCTACCCTGATGTTGGAAATTAAAAACTATCTGAAAAAGACAAGATGTTTTATTTCCTTGAGGGCCTTAAACCTTGTGCTATGATAAAATTACAAAGATAGAAGATGCAAGATGTGGCCACAGCCATGGCTGGTGCTAAACATCTTAATGATTATAATGATAGCCTCTCAAAATGAAAGAATCCTCCATCAGGTGGCAATAACTCTAACTTTGGGAATGAAGAAAATATGGCTAGAATGGACCAACCTTTTAGTGAAGGATCAGATAAAAGGCCTTCTAGTCGAGACAATACCCAAACCAAGGTAAGCAATGTATTGAATTTCAAGCCGAAGTAACTGCTAACTTGCTTCTTATTCCAGGGATCACATTGGGTGGCTAAATACCCATAAAGAGGTGCCCTTAATGCTTTAAGAATTTTTTTTATCAAAAGTTCTTAAAAGCATTCGAAATTGTCAAAGAAGTTAAGGAGGAACCAGCAAGGATAGGCTCAATACAATTTCTTAGTGCCTTTCATACCCAACTAAACATGTTAAAGAAAGAACTTGAGAAAGGTCTGATGTATGTGGACCTAGTAATCAATGTTAAAACTACAAAGGTCATGATAGAAATGGGTGCAACCAATACCTTTATCATATTAGAGAAAGCAAAAAGGTGTGGTCTCAAGGTTAATAAAGACTATAGATAAATGAAAGCAGTTAACTCACTAGCATTTGTAATCAGTGGAAGATCTAAGAGTGTGATGACTAAGTTGGGGCCATAGGAAGGAAATGTAGACTTTAAGGTTTCCACCATAGATGAATTTGACATTATCTTAGGATTGGACTTCATGATATTGACTCAGGCGATCCCAATCCCTATTACTAGTTGTTTATTGTTCTTGAGGGAACACCTGTGTGTTGTGCCAACCATGATCCTCCTTAAAAGTGAAAAGAAAATTATTTCAGCATTAGTATTTAAGAAAGGGGTAAAAAGAGGAAAACCCTTTATTTGTGGCCATGTCGATTTACAAAGATGGGATTAAGTTGGAGTCAGTACTCGATGGGGTGTAGAAAATATTGAAAGAGTTAGTGAATGTGATGCCAGAGCAATTACCCAAAGTCTTACCTTCTTGAAAATCAGTGGACCAATAGATTAAGCTTCTATCGGGAGTTAAACCGCAAGCTAAAGGCCCATATCGCATGGCTTTGCTAGAGTTGGCTGAATTAAGAAAACAATTAGATGAGCTTTTATAAGTTGGGTTCATAATACCATCGAAAGCACTATTTGGGGAGTCTGTGCCATTTCAGAGAAAGCATGATGAGAGTTTACGATTATGTATAGACTATAAAGCCTTGAACAAAGTCACTATGAGAAACAAATATCCTATTCCCCTTATTGCAGATTGTTTGATCAACTAAGGTAGGCCAAATACTTATCTAAATTGGACTTGAGATTTGGCTATCATAAGGTTAGAATTGCTAAAGAAGATGAGCTAAAAAATCACTTGTGTAACGCGATATGATGCATTTGAATTTCTTGTTATGCCTTTTGGATTAACTAATGCCTCTGCCACATTTTGTACATTGATGAATAAGGTGTTCCATGACTATCTTGACAAGTTTATGGTCATCTATTTAGATTATATAGTGGTATATAGTTCTACCTTGCAAAAGCACTAAGAACACCTGCGTCTTACATTTTAAAGACTATAAGATCACCAACTATATGTTAAAAGGGAGAAATGAGCATTTGCTCAAACACAAATTCACTTTTTAGGCCATATTATTGAATAAGGCCACATTTGAATGGACATAAAAAAAGTTAGGGTTATCAAAGAGTGGGCAACACCGAAGAATGTCAGTGAACTTCACTCATTTTTGGGATTGGCCAACTATTATAGGAGATTTGTGGAAGGGTACTCATAGAATCATAGCCTTTACGGAGCTATTGAAAAAGGAGCATAAATGGTGTTGGACAAGTGAATGTCAAAAGGCTTTTGAGGGCTTGAAAGAAGCCATGATGAAGGACCCAGCCTTGGCTCTCTATGACATTGATAAGTCTTTTGAAGTTCAAATGGATACAACTAATTTCACTATTAAATGAGTGCTTTTGTAAGAATGACACTTGATAGCATTTGAAAGTCAAAAATTAAACGAAGCTGAAAAGAGATATACGACTTAAAAGAAAGAACTCCTGGCAATAATCCATTGTTTGAGAGCATGGCAGCATTATTTGTGGGGTTCACAATTCATCGTTAAGATGGACAATATGGCAGTTAGTCATTTTCTCATCCAGTCGAGGCTCGTAACAAAGCAAGCTAGATGACAAGAGTTTTTAGCCGAATATGAATTTCATTTTGAGCACACAACTTAAAGAACCAATCAAATGGCAGATGCATTGAGTAGACGGGGTTGAGTTGGCTACCCTTAAGAGAATCACCCCGATGACAGTTAATAAAGTCAGAACAGATATCTGTAAGCTAATTGAAGATAATTTGAAGAAAGACCCATAGGCTAGTGCTATTTTGAAGCTAGTAGAATAAGAGAAGTCTAAGTTCTTTTGGTAGAAAATGGGGTCTTATTAACAAAGGGTATTTGATTGTTTGTGCCGAAAGCAGAAGGTTTGATACAAATGCTAATAAATGAATACCATGACACACTATGGGTGGGTTATCTTGGTTGGCAACATACTTTGGCTTTACTGAAACAAGGCTGTTATTGGCCCTATATGTGACAAGATATGATGAACTATACGAAGACTTGACTCATTTACCTATAGGATAAAGTTGAAAAGAATAAACTAGTAGGCATACTTGAACCACTACCTATGCAAGAACTTTGGAAAGTATTTCCCTTGACTTCATATTAGGCCTTCCTAAGGTTGGTGACCTTAGGTCTATTCTAGTGGTAATTGATCATTTCTCGAAGTATGCTATGTTCATTCCTATCCAAAAGTATTGCACTGCAGAAGAGATGGTGTAGCTAATATTTAAACATGTAATCAAGTATTGGGTCCCTCCTCAAAACATTGTTAGTGATAGGGATATGAGATTCACTAGATTATTCTGGAAAGAACTTTTCAAGATCTTAGGATCTCAACTTAACATTTCTTCAAGTTATCACCTACAAACTAATGGTCAAACCAAACGATTTAATTAGTTGTTGGAAGAGTGTTTTAGTGTTAGATTTTGGATTCTATTTCTATATATAACTTGTATGGAAGAATGAATATGGTCTTTCTCGACGGCGCAAAGAATTGCTTATGTCGTTATAGTGTTATAGACCGATCTTCGAAACCTTGAATGAGATTTTGAGTTTGCATTGCTAGTTCTGCTATGACTAAGTTACCTTTAGCTACTCACAAGTTTTTTTATTTTTATTAATTGCTTGCACTGGCGGATTGGGAAATTCCCCCGCCCCCAAATCGGTTTGTTAATGGCTATGGTGATCAGTTTTTTTGGGTTATCCGCTCTGATGACAAGTGATGAAGGATTGATCGAATTTTTTCCCTAACTAATTTTCCTCTAAACATATAAACCATAGAACCCTTTGATTCATAAGCAAATTTGTCCACGGCCTCTTTTGTTTAGCCAAGTTGAAAGGTACGTGCTACAATTCAAAGTTTTGTTTCTTTTTGGATAATTTCGTTTTAGTCATTCTTATATGATTATGTTTCATATATTTTCGGTATATAAATATTATACACTATCAATGAATTATAGATTATTGTATAATTTATTTTAGCATAATTAAATATTTAAATTTTAAAAATATTTATCTTTTTATATATTTTAAAATTTTAAATCTATTAATAATAATGTGATAATATATATATATATATATATATTGATTTGATATGGCATCAAATATAAGCAATTTGTAGAATCCACTCAAACGAGGAAAAAGATAAAAAAGAGTCCGACACCGGAAAGATCAACTTTCGAGCCTGCGATTCGCATATGTTAAATATATGGCATTATTAATTCAAAACAAGTATGTTCACAACATTTTATTCATGAGGCTGTATATAGCAGCAAGAAGCTAGCGCTGCTTGTAGTTATTAATTGCAACTCCAAATGACTCCAATGAGTAGAGATTGCTTAATCAATCGTTGCAACAACGATACAGGAAGAACTTCTCCATTGGCTTGCCACATTCAACGCAAACTACCCTCTCATGGATGCTTCCAAATCCAACGGTAGTCTCTGGAAGTATCAGACGGTTGCAATGGTGCTCGGTGTGCAGACCTTGGATGTGATCATTCAGTGCAGGAATAAAACCTTTCTCTGCTGCGAGCGCTTCCCATGCAGTATATTCCTCGAGGCTTTTCAAAATAATCTCCGCCTTAGCCCTTGCTATTTCATCTGAGCCCCTAGCAATCACGGCCCACCCTTGATCACTTGCATCAAAGCTGAGCATGGTCATGATCTCTTGCAAAATTTGGTCATTTTCTACGGTCACGCCATGCTGAACTCTTGAGTGCCACATGCTCTCCAACCGCACCCAGAAGAACCATATGAGTGAAATGTCTGGCAATACATGGCTAAGATTTTCTCTCTGGATGGTAGTCATGTTCCTTCGAACTTTTTCTTTAGGGTTGCTTTTTCCCATGTAGAGCATCTCTAGTTTGATATTGGCAGTTTGCGCAACAGCTCTTGCAGTAGTTGTGAATTTTCGGATCCAATCCATATTTTCTCCACCATACAAGCAAATGACTTTCCTTTCTGTTAACTGCAAATAGCAAATGGCTCTCAAGGTGTTATGCCAACATTTTACTTAACTATCTAATTGGTAGTGGTTTAGTGTGTATGAAACAATTCTAACTAATTAAGTTAAAATAAGTTTTCATATATATAAATTAAAAATGTTTACTAGTAAATCTAATAATTCGTGTAGTTATATTATATTTCTGTCATGTTAAATATGTATAAAACACAAAAAATTATCATATTAAATTCGTATTAACACATCAAACACAACATATTTTTTTTGTGTTGCTAAACCCATACAATTTATGATAAATTTTTAAATCATGTCACTTTTATATTTTTTTTCATATTATTTTAATATAGTGTTACCATTTTATATTTAAAATTATTATGTCTGTCTTTTACTAGTATAATTAAGTACTTATAATTAGGATTGCACATACCCAATTGATTATGGAGGGGTCAATAGAATCAGCCAAGAGTTCAATCCTCCATGTCTCTTCCTTCCAAAGAGCTTCTTCCCTGATCTTAGTGAAAGGGAATGCCAAACTCCCCCAAATAAACATCATGTGAATCGCGTTAGGATTCACAACTCTTCCTTGCAGGTCCAACACCACTAGCAGAGGCTTCTTACTGAATCCCCAAACCTCTTTGATATACCTAATCACCGCTGGTTCAATCATGGAAGGGTGACCAACCGAGTACCATGGCATCGTTGCTTGTAGAGACTCAAATTGCTTTTTCTTTGTGTCATCAAATGGAGTGGACCTGTCTACAACTGGGATCCAAATCACCTCGTACTGAGACTCTGCCCTCGTTGGTTGCACTCGTGGTTCATTATACACATGTTCCAGAATAAGAAGTTCTTGGTTCGGGACCACAAGGTCTGTAATGAGTAGTAGCACATACTTCTGCCTCAACAACTCAATGCGCACCTGTATTTGTTACTAGTGATCAAAAACAAGTCACTCAAACCAATTCTCATAGCCTTTGATATATAAATTGCAGTTAAGATCTTGATTTTGGTACCCAAGTTTATGGTACTCAAGGTTGTCAACAAAAGAATGCTGATAGCTGAAATTAAAAATCCGTCAATCTACTAGTAGATGACATGATTGTTGGCGATTTTAGTACGTACTGAATAATAAATGTATTTATGGTTCTAAGTTTAGCATTAAGTAGTTAGTCTATTTTTAAGCCATAATGAGTTTTGACCAAATGGACTAGTTCAAAGAAAGAAAAGGAGGATAAATCACACCCTTTGCTTGGTAGTTGCATCCCAAAGTGGCGGCTGGCCATCCTTAGCGTAAATCAAAGCCTTAAGAATCTTCATATTATCAGCATGGATTGCATCAAAGAGGCGCAACAGAGTTTGATATGCTTCAATATCCTTTCTCTCATCTGTATCAAATTAACTAAGTTCATTATTGGTAGTACAGTTTGTGCTGACATTTCGGCTTATCTACCTTCCTAGCTATATCGTGATCCATAAAATTTTAAGTGAAACCTTGGAAGTGAAGTGAAAGGACGACGTACTTATGCGTTGACGACAATGTTTCAGTTTCTCCATAAGATCGTTGTATATACCATTGATATTGTGCACCAAGCTTGACAGCTCCCAAGCATCTGTAGTCGATGATATGAACCTGAGGGAAAACCCCAAAGATATGAGAATCATTAGATAAAAAATTCTCTTCCCCTTCACGTCTAGTTTAAAAGAGAGATTTATGGCACCGACGTTAGGAGATAGCTTCTAATCGTGCAGGTTGAAGCTATTTGAGAAAGCAGTCAGGGCTGGCTTGATCAAGGGCGATGACTTACTCGTGGCCCATGCCAGTAAGGCCTATAATTTGTGATGCACAAATCACTGTACTTCGGATGGTCCAATAAACAGCTGAAGGGATGTCAGAATTGGCGGATGACATTTCCGGGTCTTCAGGGCTAATGTACTTAGATGGAAGCTCCTTGAATTCGACAATGCACTTGGCCACGAGAAGCATCACATTGATGAGGTTGGCAAGTGTGTCAAATTTTGGTTTCAAAAGGTCAGCTCGTGTAAGAACTTCTGGCCATTGTTTGAGGAGTACAATCCCTCTGGCAAGTGGATTGGTGGTGTAAAGCTGGACAACCAGCAAGAATTCACCATAGGTCATGGCAAATGCTGCCAAGGCTAGTACAACCTTTGCATCCCATGAGTAGCTTTTAACCACCTGAGCTACTGCTAGAGTTGTTGAATGTGCATCTTCACCAATTGACAACCTGTAGGCTATCTGTCATTATTAGAAAATGTAAAACTGAATTAGCAGCTTTAAGCTGGGCTTCTGTGCTTTTTTTTTTTTTTCTCTTCCATGTGTAATGTAAGTTTGATCATATGATCTATATTAGCCCAAATCAAAGTTATTAATTGAGGACATTGAGGCAGATATAAAGTTATTCATTCAAGTAAACCGATTTAGTCTTGGTATTTAATAGTACAGAAGAAGATGAAGGCATATTTGTTACGACATAAGATATTTTTGGTCTTCCAACTATAAAAAGGAACATTGGCTCTTTTTTTTCTTTTTTATTGAGGTCAATTTGACTCCCGTTCTTTCAATTATGATTAAAAGTGGATGTCCGGTAAGCTTGCCACATGAACTATCACAAGACATGACACAGCAAATAATGCTATATGTCTTTATGAGAATGATATGACAATAACATCAATAATTATTAATTGCCACGTAATATTTTATAGTCACATTGATTGACACGTGAGAACTTAAACGATAAAAAATTTTCTTTACACAGTTAAAATTTAATCAATTTGATCATAAAAGAATAGCAATAAGAGTTGAATTAACACCAATAAAAATAGGATCAAAATAACTTTTTTGCATAATTGGACAAAAACAGTTTCCTATTTGTTACCGGAAGATAATCATAACACCGCTTTCTATGTAATACGAAAAACAGTCTAACCTCGCAGGAAATTCTGTTTATGGTGACTGATAAAACGTCGAACAACTGATCAATGCTATAACGGGGAGCTGTTTCATCTAATGCATCCACTTGCATGTTTTCTCCCTATGCCAAATGTTGTATTGATCAGTCACACCATAACATAAATATTGGAGAAAAAGCATACATATGAGGTAAGGCTTTTATTTACCTCAACTGTTCCCGCGGCATTAGGGGATGCTCGGCGAAAGATGACTTCAACAATGTCAAGAATAGGTTTCATATTAATTTCAATACCAGCAGGCTCATGGGTGGCCTCCATTTGCCTCCCCATTGCTTTACCACCTGAGGTTGAGACCATGTGTGGGTTGCTTCCCGTATGAGACACATATGACAATTCCATTATGTTAAAGAGGTGGATTCTTCGGTATGAGTTAAGGGAGCAAAAACCGAGGGTGTTGTTGGATTTTGTTTGACATGACTCACTGGCTTTATATAGTTCATTTGAAATGGAATTGCTACCTTGCTTCCAGTGAGGTTTAAGTCATGAAGTGCTGCCAGGGATTAGAATTTTTAAAAATTGCTTGGAAATATCTTCTCCCATGGGTCCCTGATCTCAACAGTATAAAGATGATTCCGACTCCTTAGATTCCTATACCAGGAATTTTAGCAACTTTCACCTCCTGAAACGCATGTTCACTGTTTAATTACTACCTTTCTATTCTCTGATTTATTTTAGAATTGTTTTCAATGTCGTGTGATTCCCTCCCTGAACTTTTCAATTTTCAATTTCTTTCTAAACAGGATTCGTATTGGAATGCTGCATGTGATAGGATATAACAGGATTCTTACAGAGCGGAGATCCTGGAAAATTTACACCTGCGAAAAATTTTCCCAAATAAGAGCAAACGAAAACCAGAAGAATATGATGTTATTTGCCAAAAAAAAATAAAGGGAATCCATCTAACGTGATTGGTTAGTCTTTCTTTCCAATGTAACTATTGCAGTTACAGGAGGAACCTTGCGTCTTTGGGGCGAAAAGCTAAGGTGCCTAGAGACTAGAGTTCTTCGATTGTTATGTCATTTTACTTTCATGTTTGTGGTCTTGTTTTATCTTTTCAGCAGCTTTCCTGACTTAGGCGTTTGGTTGATGAAATCAGTTCATTTATCCTAAAATGTTAAAAGATTTCTTAAGGTCTAGTTAGGGCTTGAATATGGAGACTTCCATGGCTTCAAGGAGCTGCAGAATGTTGATTTGCCTGGAGCTAATAACGACCTTAATTTATTTTCTGTCAAATAAATAACTTGCCTTACTAAAAGTGTAACATGGAATTCATCAGTAAGAAAAAGCCTAACAAATAAGTTGCTGTAAGGCAACCATCTAATGCACAGAAAGGCAAAAGAACATTTCAGCTTGATCACAATATGATGCTTGTTATGACAAAGAAGGCAAAAAGTAAAGGAAAATTTTTCGACCGATATACATTGTTAAACAAATTCCTTTGAAATGTACTGACAAATTTATGGGTATGTCTCGTCTACTAATACAAAATTCTGACATTTAGTAAGTAGAATATAAATTTTTTTTGTTCCAAATTGATCAGTTTACAGAGGAAAAAGTTTTCATTTTTCTGAAATGCAGATGGCATACCATACCTAGATTTAATTCCATAATTGTAATTGTTGCATTTTTATGTTGAGTGCCTTCCCCCACTGTTGTAGTTAACATAAATACCATATTTTAGTCATTCAAAAGAGGGAGGAAATGAAAATTTGAAACTTAACTCGGTTTATGTATCTATCCATAAGAAGTGGCATCTAACAAATTAAATTTCATCACTTATAGCCCTTTCTTCTATCTCTAAATTGTGCCTTTTTTTGTTAAAAAAAAAAAAAAGAAACAGTCAGTAACACCTTTTTTTCCCTTTTCTTCCTCTAAATAAGATTTGATAGTTGTCTCTGAAATAATCACTATTATCATCAGTCTCTTCAACAAATGTTATTTCAGTCAGAAAATCTCTGTTCCAATTTCCTACTTAATTAATTATTTATAGATGATAAACTTCTTCATAAGCCGTTTACACTTCTGGCAAACTATATGCTTCCTTCAATCAACCCTTCAGAATAGGGAATAACTTCTTTGTGATTGCAACGCCGGCGCTCATCAAGGAGAGGAGGTTCAAGGACAGTTCTGAGAGCACCTATGAATTCCAACTGTGCAACAATTTTCTCCCCAGTGCTGAAATAGATTCAAGCATTGAATGATTTCACCCCCTTGAACCCTTACAGTATCTGTTGACAATCCTTTTCCAAATACCGCCTAGCCATTGTCGTACTCTCAAACCGAAGCTAAAAGAAATATTTCTTCCTTTCTTCAACCTGATTCAAAGTAATGAGTAGAATATTAAAATTTGGCTAGGGAGAAGAAAATTCTTTATTTTAAAATGCATTCAAAGATGTTGCATTGTTGGTGTTCAGCTTTTACCCATTAAGGATGGGAAGAATTTCATTGGTCATAAGTTGCATTGTCCACTGCTCCCCATCCCAAAGCTCATTTTCTCTTGAAATTGAAAAGGGATATGGCTCAGAACCCCATATGAATACCATATCAAGCGCATTCAAGTTTGTAATCCTCCCTTCTGAATCCAAAACTACCATAATGCCTTCACCTCCTTAGTTCCATTCTGGTTTCATAATGTATATTACTACAGAGTTTAGAGAACAAGGCTGTCGAACTGAGTAACATGGTTTGGAGTTTGACAAAAAGTTGAACCATTTCTCCTCGGTATCAGTCCATGTTTCAGAAAACGAAATGGGAACCCATATAATCGCGTGACTTCCTTCTACCTGCTTTCTGTGAGGATGATCATATGTTACGTAGAAATAAAATAATTAATTTAATGAGCAAAAATGTAAAACAAATTAAAATGTAAAAAAGAAAGCTTTGACCTTTTCTTGTGTAGAACAATCCTTAAGTGGCATCTCATCTTTTAAAGCAAATAACATCTGAAATGTTAGGCCTGAAGCAATAAACACAATAACACAGAAGCAATATATCACAATAAACTTATAATAATAGACAACGATCAACAATCAACAAAGTAAGAAAAATAAAGCACATCAAGATTTATGTGAAAAATCCTCCAATGTAGAAGAAAAAATCACGGACCATCAAAAAATTTTCACTATCAAATAATGAATATACAAAGTTCTTCTCTAACTAAAACTAGAGCTAATCAATAACTAAAAAGAGACAATTGAAGAAATCTCACCAAATAAGTAATTCAAATACACCTTAGATTTGTTTTAAGAGAGTTTCAAACCCGATCTTCACCATTCAGAATGTAGAACTCTAAATTATAAACTTGCTGACAAAATTTCAACTTAATCGGATCACAGATTGACTTCCGTTCAACCAACTCTCCCTTATTTCTTTTCTCTCTATTTTTTTGGCTTTTCTTCTTTCCTTTCTTAGTTTGCAACACCACCTTAAAATAGCCCCACCTCTTTTTATTAAGTAGCTAAGATTCTGTGTAAAAAGAAATACCAAGACCCATGGCCTTTGATTGGTTCAAAACCAATTACATGAGGCTAGACCCCATTTTCCTAATAATCTTCCCCTCTAACGCCATTAGGAAGATATTCATCACCATAGCAGTTTCATTTGGAACTTACCTTGGCTAAGGAACTCATTCCGGCCAAGTTACTGTGGAGTTCAAGCTTTTCTTTGGGAAGTACTTAGTAAACATATCTGCTACATTCTCATCAATATGAACTTTCTTCAATAGTATTTGTTGTTCTTCAATCATTGAATGTAACCAGTGATATCTAACATCAATGTGCTTTATTTTAGCATGGTACATGGTATTTTTACTCAAATCTAAAGGACTCTAACTATCACAAAATATCACATACTCTTTCTGATTCAACCCCAATTTAAGAAGAAAATGTTTCATCCAAAGCATTTCTTTACTTGCTTCAATTGCTACAATATACTCAGCCTGTGTAGTTGACAAAGTAATACACTTTTGTAACTTAACTGCCAAGACACGACTCTTCCTGTAAAAGTGAACAAATATCTTAAAGTAGATTTTCTACCATCAAGATCACCTACCATGTTAGCATCAGTAAACCCTTCTAGAATTGATTATGAAACTCTATAACTTAAGCACATTTTTTATGTGCCCTTCAAATATCTAAAAATTTATTTCATTGCTTTCGAATTAACCTTTCTTAGATTAGAAAGAAATCTGCTCACTACACCAACTGCATGAGCAATGTCAAGTTGTGTACAAACTATAAGATACATTAAAGAATTGACTACAGAAAAATAAAAAATACTAGACATAGCTAGTTGCTCTTCCTTAGACATTGGATAAGATTTTTTACTCAAATGAAAATGGTTGGTAAGTAGACTCTAACTGATTTAGCATGTTGCATATTGAATCCACTAAGCACCTATTCAACATATTTTTCCTATGACAATCATAGCTTTCTAGCTCTTCTATCCCGGATAATGTTCATACTGAGAATCTATTTTGCTAGACCTAAATCATTCATGTCAAAAAGACTTAGATAATTGTTCTTTCAACCTACAAACCATACTAGCATCTTATCCCATAATCAACATATCATCAACATATAATAAGAGAATAATGAAGTTACTATCAAAAAATTTTTAACATACACACAAGGATCCGTTACCATTTTTTTAAAGCTGTGGTTCACCATAAAAGAATCAAACTTTTTGTACCACTGTCGCAGAACTTGTTTCAAGCCATACAAGGTTTTTTTTAGTTTACAAACTAAGTGCTCTTTCTTTTTTACTTCAAAACCCTCAAGCTGATTCATATAAATGTCTTCTTATAAGTCACCATACAAGAATTTAGTTTTGACATTAAACTGCTCAAGCTCAAGATTCAAACTAGCTGATAATCCTCGTACTACTTGAATGAAACTCATCTTCATAACTAGAAAGAAGATCTCATTAAAATCGATGTCTGGTTTCTGAAAAAAAAATTTTACCATCAATCGAGTTTTGTACCTCACTAACTTGTCACCATCTTTTTTCAACTTGAACATTCATTTATTTTTCAACGGCCTCTTCTTTTTCAAAGTTTAACAAGATCATAAGTATCATTTTTTCACAATGAATTCATCTCTTCTTTCATTGCTTTTAACCAGTGCTCTTTATCCAAAGTAGCCTATACATCTTGAAAGCTCTCTAACTCTCATTCACTGGTAACTAAAATAAAATCTAAACTTGGATACTTGGTAAATGGATTGTACTTTCTAGTAGATCTCTTAGGTTGAAACTCTACACCACTTGATGTCGAAGGTAACTTTCTCTACTCAACACTCTCTGGTGGAAAAGATTGTTTTTCTTGCTTAAAATTGATTGCATCTGGTTCATCACTAAC